AGCTGCTTGCGCTGTGAGTACTAGTTGCTGAGCACGTTGGCAGTTGGCGCAGGCTCAGGGGGGTGGGGAATCTCAGAGGGCTGGAATGTGGATGGGTGCACTGGGCCCAGTGGTTGACAGTTTTGCACAAATGTTTCTCGTGCCGGACTTAAGTCACCCTCACAGGCCTTCTCAGTGATTAGGACCGGCTGGAGAGAGCCTGCCCATTTGGCAGGCGACTTGACATGTGTTCCAGTTAAATCATTTTGCTATCCCAGAGTAATGGGGAATTAGAAAAACCCCCACTGTGGGTCTGGACTTGTATAGAAGAAGTCTAACTTTTCTGATCAGAGGCCAGGTGGAGGAGGGCAGCGTTGATTCAAAGTGGATTGTTCACTGGCTGGTGTGACTTTTTTCCCTCCACCCCCAACGCTGGTAAGGAGCTTCCAAATCTGTTCGGAGTTTTGCCTCATGTGAACAACAACTGAAGCTGTGTGGAAACACACTTCCTGCCCTGTTTTCAGCAAATGCAGGGCACGTGCAAAGGACATTTTAAAGGACAGCTTTGGGGGCCTGATGAGGGACTGGATGAGTTAATTTCTTCCTACTGATTTATAGAGGGAAAAATGGTCGGGTCAGCCACTTTACATGGTATCTCTGTCTTGCTAATAATAGCCAGCGACTGCTAAAAGGATGTAAGACTGAATAACTGATGTTTGTCATGTAAAGATGGGAAGAAGAGGGAATTTCTCTGGTCTGTGGAGAAGGCCAAGTGCACCAGCATGACCTCACTCTTTGAGGAAGAGCAAGGGCTGCCAGGCTTCATGCTTTCATTTTCTTTCACTTGTCCCTTTTCGGGTGGAGAAGAGGCCTGCTTGCAGAGACCTTGCATGAGCCATCAGAAAGAATGAAGTTCTGATGACTTGCTATGTATAGTCTTGAAGGGAATGTGAAATATGCATCAAAGAGCCAAGGAATGCACAAACCATGACCCCCATTCCCAGCTCAGACAGTGGGGGTGGGTAGTTTTCTCAGCTTGGCCAGAGGGCTTTGGGCACTGGCTTTTCTACCTTCCCTTGCCGTCATCTCTGGCTTTCTTGCTTTCCGTTTGCTGTACCTTGTGGCATATAATTTTGGAAAAGGCTTAGATTTCTAGGTTAAATGTTTTCTTTAGAGACAACCTGATGGGTGAGAGGGTACAAACTGATGTCTGCATTTAGTTATGTTGGAGTCAGCATGCTGCCTGACCCGGGGTTAGTTCTGAGAAGAAATGAGGGACAATCTATTCTGGTTTCCAAAGGGAATTGGTACAGTTAGGGTACATGCTGTTGCACTCTGGAATTTTGCTGTTCTTCTGAGTAGCTTTAAGAAAACATTCTCTTTAAGCTGTCATCCTTATCTATGTGTACAAATGCTGGGTAACAGGTGGCTCCTTGCACTTTGGACTGCTCCCTGACCTCCAGGGGAAGTCTTTGAGGTAGATATGATTGTGTTCCTGGTGTCTCGAAGTGTGCAGGGTCTGCAGTGGATTCTCAGTTACTATTTACCCTCCTCGATGGAGGCAGGTAAGACAGGGAAAAAGGAGCAGGTGCACACCCTCTCGGTTCCTCTCTCCCGCGACACTAAGCATGGCCTGTTTCAAGTGCTTCTGTGCTAGACAACCGTATCCACCATATTGCCAGAATCCAACTTTCGCTTCCCAGGCTCCATCTTTCTCAGCTTTCAGGTGGGGTTCTCTGCTCCCTCAGGCTTCCCCGATGTCACTCACACCCACTGTACACTTCCTCACTTCACTGCCTGCCTTGGGAATGTGGATGTGTTTTAGCAGGTAGTCTCAGGTCTACTTCCTTGGACCTGCTCTGCTTTCCTGCATGATTGCATCTGGTAATGACGTCAGCACCAGCTTGGTGCACAGATTTTGCCACATTTAGCACCAGCCCCGAGTCCCTAGTTACCAACTCAGGCAGTTGTGATCACATCAGCAAATATATATATATATATATGCAAAATATATATATGCAATATATATATATATGCAAAATATATATATGCAATATATATATATATATATATATATATATATATATATATATATGAATACACACACACACACAATGCTCATCTCAACATTAAAGTGTCCAAAATAGACTCTCCATGCCTTTCCAACAGCCCGTTCATCACACAGTCCCCTTGACTGTTGTGGTGGTTTATGAGTTTCTCTCGTGCCCTAACCATCTGTTTTCCACATCACAGGTTGAATGACCCCTTGAAAAGGGAAAGCAATAAATGCCGGTCTCCATCTTACTGGTCTTCAGAGGCTTCCAAATGCCTTCAGTTCTGACTCCTTCTGGCTTGCATGAGCTGGCTCCCTCCAGTATCGTCTGCTGCCATCTAGCCTTGCTGGACTTATGTCTCTTCCTGGGCGGTGCTAAACTTTTCTACCTGAGAGCCTTGGCACTTGCTAGTATTCCCTTTGCTTGGATGGCTTTGCTGGGCATTTTGACTCAGTGACTTTGTCCCAAATCATGTCACTTCCTTGGTCAGCACCGCCCTATGCTAGGCAGCCCCTGGTGCTGTTTACAGTGCCAAGCCTTCAGTGCTCACTCAGATTATCTGCTCATTGCTAGTTTTGTCTTATTTGTGGATATGCTCCCCTTCCTCGGAAGAGTAGCAGGAAAAGAGAAAGCAGTAATTAAATATTTGCTGAATCCACAAGTAACGGCTGTATTATTTAATCTTCCTGGGAGCGTAAGGCTGGGAGAGAGGTCTGTAAATGGTGTGACTTATTAGCCTTTAGAGAATTCCTTTCCCACCATAATCCTGCTGATTGACCCATATCTTATTTTATACATTTTTAGTTTGACTGTAGAGAAGAAACATCTTCTGGCATGTATCAGGATGAACCATCATGTGTGAGTCTCCAAAGGGAGACTCTTGCAAGTGTCCAACAGTAATGAGTTTCTTCCCATCCAAATACTGCTCAGCCCAGTCCCGCTTAGTTTCTGAGACCAGACAAGATTAGGTATGCTCAGGATGGCATGCCGGTAGACTAGTAATGAGTTTCTTAGTGACAAAAAAAGAGAAACTTATTTTATTGTTGAATGTTATTTTTCGTGTGTGTTCTCCCTGTCCCCTTTTGTGTATGTGTATGTCTATGTGTGTGTACATGTGTATGCCACAGCACATGTGTGGAGTCACTTGTGTCTTTCTACCATGTGGGTTCTAGGGATGAAACCCAGGTCAAGCACCTTTACCTGCAGAGACACCTTACTGGCCCAAGAATCACATTTTTAAAACAAAGTAATATGTGCACAGTTTGGTGCTGAACGCTTGCTTTCAAGTTTGGCCCCTCATTCAGGTCTCAACACAGTCAGTGCAGAATTGATGTTATTGTGTTGAATCATTGTGTGACTTATATTGTTACTCTTATATGATACAAGAAAGAAAATCTCTGAAGCTCAAAAAAGTTAAGTACTTTGCTCCAGGGGCGTAAACTACTAAGTTGTCAAATTAGATTTTTTTTTTTGAAGTTTTGCTTCTGACCTTTTTTGCAAAGGGGATTGCTTGCTAAGGGAGATACATTCCTAAAATAGGAAGGGAAAAACTGAATTCTGTGCACCTCTGCCTAGATTATAGCAAATATCCAGAGCACCAGAATAAGTTATGCAGACAGTATGGAAAACAGACTCAACCATATCCAGTGCCTGGGCATACGCCTGGATGCCTAGAATACACAGGGAACATGTGGGTCTCTGGCAGAGCTTACATAGAGGGTGACACGGAGCAGCTGCGCCCAGAGAAAGTTCTTTGTTACAGGACCACTCTACAGCAGCAGCAGTCGGGAAGTTCAGGGTTTCTTTCTGTTTCCACTGTAAAGAGAGTTCATGCAACTGTGGATATGAAAGTTAATGCAATGGGAAGGAGCTGCAGAGTAAGAGAATAGAGCTGTGCTCGTTCTGTAAACTGGAAACATGTTTGGCGCCGGGAGACTGAAAAAAAAAAAAAAAAAGACAAGACAAAACAAAAACGTGGCCATTCCTTGGATAGATTCTGAGGTCTTATTTAGCATATGAAATTGCAGAGTAGATCCCATTATGTAAGGAGAGAGGAGGACGGCAAAACGTGGTTACAAAATGAAGAACTCCGTGCCCTTCAGTGAGGAGTTAACAGTGCAGATAGCACACAGAGAGACGCGTGATAGCAGCGTGGAAATGAATGGACGGGTGGCATGTATATGCGCCTCTTGCTGAAGCCCGGTGCTGGCTAATCCTCAGATGTCAGGTTTCCGTAAGGCCAACATGTGACTCAACGCTCGCCACTCAACACAGAACACTGGGCTGGTGTCAAGAGGCTGGCTGCAAGCTGGGCTCCCACTGTGCATTAGCCCAACTCCCAGGCTGGCTGCAAGCTGGGCTCCCACTGTGCATTAGCCCAACTCCCCGTCGCTCCGTGTGTGTGTGTGTGTGTGTGTGTGTGTGTGTGTGTGTGTGTGTGTG